AATGTGTATAATGACATGGGTACTACAACGTAAACATGGTTTATGAGGACACTTCCTGTGTCCCCGTAAAACAACAGGCTTAAAAAAACAAACACACACACACAGACACACACACACACAACGGTGTTTTATGAAATTCAAAAATTGCCAGTATTTTAGGTGTATGGCTATAGAAAATACAATTTGTACAGTATAAAAACCATTACGCCTATGGAGAGTCCCCGTAAACCACAAATGCAAGTATGTGCGTGTGTGTTAGGCAATTGTCACAGATCAAGCCAGAGACAACAGGTTAGTGAATGAATAGCAGGTTTATTGGCAGGTAAGGTTATGGCAGAATGACTGGTGAGTATCCAATATGAATGAAAGTACAATGGGTCTTAGCTGTGTCCTGATGTATGGTTCCTTTGTAGGTGCGCAGAGGTTTCGGGATCCAGGAGCAGAGGAGAACAACGGATGGAGATCTTCGGGGAACTAGACGTAAGGATAAACAGGTAAATAGCATAAAGAGCTAGGATAGCAAAGTAGGACAAGGAAGGCCTCCAGGGCGGAGCAGACAGTTCAAGGTGCCATGGCAGAGCAGGGAGCTTGGGGCGCCACGGAGGAGCAGGTAGTCCAGCAAGCCATGGCGGTGCAGGCAGTTCAGGAGGCCATGGCAGAGAAGCCTCCGAGGCTAACGGGAGAGGATAACGGGATCCAATGCCCTCTCGGGGCCAAAACCGGGGACTGGAGCCCTCCCTGGGCTCAACAGGGGATCAGGAGCCCTCCCTGAGCTGAACTCGGGGGCAGGAGCCCTCACTGGGCTGAAATCGGGGGCAGGAGCCCTCCGTGGGCTATACTCGGGAACAGGAGCCCTCCGTGGGCTATACTCGGGGGCTGGAGCCGACACTGGAGCGAGCTCTGGGGCTGGAGCCGACACTGGAGCGAGCTCTGGGGCTGGAGCCGACACTGGAGCGAGCTCTGGGGCTGCAGCCGACACTGGAGCGAGCTCTGGGGCTGGAGCCGACACTGGAGCGAG